CACCAATGCTGGCTATTATCTGTTCCCCGGTGGCCCTTCCACCGCCTTCCACTCTGTCCCGGAAGTATCCCTTTATTGCCGGGGTGGCCTCGGAAGGCGGTAGAGAGTGTTGCCAGCACCACGTGTAACAAGTCGAATATTGCCTTCCGTTCTGTCTCGTCGCGCTTGTTCGGATTGTAGTAGCCGGAAAATGACCTTAGAACGTCGAGTAGAGTTTGGAAACCACAAAGATGGCGGAAGTCGTCTTGTGGTGGGGAGGGCGGGGGTGCAGCGGCGAGGTGCTGGTGAATCTGCCGAATCTGGTCCGCCAATTCCTGAATCTTTGGATATGGCCCTCCCGGCGAGGAAGCTGCTATCCCTGTCAACCGTTCAAGGAGAGCCTGAAGCACTTCGGTGGCTTTGGAGGTTTGGAGTGTAGAGGCCGACGTCGACGCTCGATAGCGGCGGGATCGTACGGGGAGCATTTTGACGGTTTCGGGTGCTCAGTTCCGCCAATTTCCCGATATCCTGAGAGGGAGGTTGCGACAAGAGTTGGTCGAATACCCAGAGCCCATAGAGGGTCCAAGTGCGCAAGTTCGATGGCCCGTCATGGACAGGACGGGAACGCGGCCTGACGCGGGTTGGAGAATGTGCTTACGCCAGCATTCCAAGGCTCCTGCCAGTCGGATCTCGTTCGCCGGTGTAGAAACGGAATCGATGTCGAAGAAAACCAGGGCGGTTTTGGCGATTTGCGTTCCGTGCAAGGGCGCATAAATCAAGAAGTGGCCGTTTTGTGCGCTCGTAAGTTTGCTTCGGCCGTTCTCGTCGTTGGAAAACTGCTCTATTCGTCACAATCAAGAGCTTCCGGGCTTCCTCCTTCAAGGTTGCAGGGATCACCAGCTTTCGGGGCTGAACCGCTCGAATGTAACGCGGCGGCCTGCGAGGGGCACAACAGGGCGGGGGCCCACTGGTTCGAACCTCTAACTCAAGACGGCGGCCCAGGGACCAGCCACAAAGCCACCTGCATCTCATCCATTGTTTTTAATGGTTTTATCTCGACGAGGATCAGAGATTATCCACGATTTATCTGAAATAACTATCATCTCATTTTCCAAATATTTCTGACGAGTTGTAGATTTCACGACTATCGTAACAACCGTGTCCTTGTCGGATACCGAAAACCTCCCTACCCAGTCGTTTCATTCAGGTAGCAGATAGCTCCACCGTTACAACCTCACGAATTCGACAGGTGTTGTGGCTGGGGAAGGCACAGCGCCACCGCGAGGGACACGAGGAAGAGCCTGGCGGTGGGGAGGCCTTCCTCCATTCCCATCTACCGGTGTCCTCTCAGCGGCCCCAGGGACGTGAAGAAAAAGGGCCATACAATGAAAACGAAAGAAGACAGAGAAAAGAAGAGGGACAGTGTGAACTTGCAGAACTGAAGCAAGTTCAACGAGATGAAGGGAACAAATAGAATGAGGTCGAGCTCGGTGGGAGGGTTACTCAACTCACAACCAACCACGTGCCAACATCAACAAACATGCATGCAATGGAATGGAAGTTAATCTATCCGCAAGCAAGTCGGGAGCTTATCCGCAATCAGTAAACAGGCAGGCAGCGTTCCCCAGGCACTACCTATGAGATTAAGGCGAGACACCACAAGGATAACTTGGCGGGGTCACTCCTTGGCATAACTGACCCACCCAGCAGTTTGGCGGGTCAAGCTCCCTGAACTGTACGTATCCTGTTCTGGTCCCAACTTTGTCCATTCGTCGAATTAAAACAATGGACACATCCAAAGGGCTCGTATTGCCGACTGGAAGGAGAGACGAGACATGTCTCTCGTCTCTTATTATTCCGGAGTCTTGTGGACTCAATGACCGAATTCCACAGCACCTATCCGATGTTGCTTTTTAGACGGCTAAGGCAGGTACGAAGTGAGGTATGATGTAATGGTCGAGGAAGACCGACATCGGCATCGAGAGGCAGCGTCTGGGCAGGTACCTTGTTTTCCCGAGACACATCTTCATGCACGTGCTGTCAAGGAAAACAAACGCGACCAAAACAGGTAACTAACTAATATCGGACATGCGACACGTCCTCGCGCTCCTCAACAAGAAACTATTTGTGTGAGCAAGACCCGAAGTCAAGTGGTGTCAGACGATTGCGCTCGTGACCATCTTTCCGGCGGGTGGAGCCGCCCTTGCTCGGCTCGTGACAGGCGGCAAGGGCAACTCGACACACTCGTCATCCAGATCGAGGGAGAAACGTTTCACCACCATCCCAGAGAATGAGAAAGCTGCACTTTCCAATGCAGGCTTGAATGGTAGCTAGGTAGCCAGTTAAGCAGAGCAGGTATTGCCTGCTCCTGAATGCATTTATGCGCTCTGAGGACAAACTGACTCGAGCCAGCGAGGGCGCCTCCTGCGATGCGGTGCAGCCCTTTGTTGGCATTCCGTAAGACACCTACCTCTCCCGTTGAACCCGATTCCTTGCATTTCGCACTTTTCCGGGGCCGCTTAATGCGTTCTGTTGTTCAACATCCATCCTGCAGAGTAGCGGAAGAAGAGGCCGAGGCATCAGGGGTGCATTCTGGGTGTCCATACAAACATGTTCCGAGTTCAACAAGGCGTGGCCATTTGCTGCCTCGTTGTCCAAGAGGGTGCATTTCCAATCGAGCTTCCAAGGTTCCGCGAATCAGGGCCAGACCGGGACCCCCAGAAACCCGGAGCCAACCATGCGTGGCGGTCAGCAAGCCGCAGATCCCGGGGCGGGTAGCCTGGCACACCTGTGCAGCCTCGCCCCCCAACACTTTGCCTGTGCCGCTGGATTCCGTGCCTGTCGCGTTTGGAGACTCGAGGGAGCGCACGAGAATAGCTACTGCCATCACTATCATCATCGTCGTCATTAGCTTCATCGTCATCCAAGTAGGTCGGGATTGTCCTTGTTCCCTAGAGGCAAATTCGTCCTCTTTTCTCCGTTCCTCTTCCGAGATGACCCGTTCGAGTCGCGGAGAGACGCAATGGTGACCTCCAATGATGCCAATACTGGCCTTATCGTTTATCGTCTCGGCTGGGTGGGTCCACCAGGTTGCCCCAGTTCCATTGGTCCCTCCGCACCGCACTGGGTGAAAGCGGGTCTCCAGCCCCCCAGGCCCCAGGCCTCAGGGCTCTTGCTCCGCCTTCTGGGCGTCCGTGTGACGCATGCATTCCCCAGGGCATAATAAGAACGCCCGCATCCCCCAAGATCCCGTGCCTTGCTCTTTCGCCATCCCCATCCTCATCCTCTCCCTCTCCCATCTCCATCACGCTCTTCCTCGGATATTAAGAAGGCCATCTCGTCGAGTATTTCCGTTCTTATTTCTGTTTGGAGTCGCCGGTTTATCGACTTCGTCCTTCTTTATTCAATTCACAATGAGAGGTCTCGTCGCTCTCTCTTTCGCCGCTGCTGCGGCCGCGGCCCCAACTGTCAGCTTTGAGACGGTCCACGGCGAGGCTGCCCCCATTCTTTCGTCGTCAAACGCCGAAGTCGTTCCGGACTCGTACATCGTCAAGTTCAAGAAGCATGTGGACGACAGCTCAGCCTCTGCCCACCAGACCTGGCTCCAGGAGGTGCACACGTTCCGCGAGACGGAGCGTGCGGATCTGAAGAAGCGCGGCCAGAAGCAGCTGGTCGACAATGTCTTCCGTGGGCTGAAGCACACGTACAAGATCGGCGAGAGCTTCCTAGGCTACTCGGGGCATTTCGATGAGGAAACCATCGAGCAAGTCCGGAGGCACCCCGATGTAAGTTGCGCAACCTAAACCTCCCCCCACATATGCCTACTTCTTAGACTCGGCGCTAATCATTTCCACAACAGGTCGAGTACATCGAGCGCGACAGCATCGTTCGGACGATGAGCACAACGCAAGATCAGTGCGATAGCGAACTTGAGAAGTCCGCGCCGTGGGGTCTGGCCCGTATCTCGCACCGGGATACACTGGGTTTCTCGACCTACAACAAGTACCTGTACGCTGCCGAAGGCGGTGAGGGTGTTGACGCCTACGTCATCGACACCGGCACCAACATTGAGCACGTCGACTTTGAGGGTCGCGCCAACTGGGGCAAGACCATCCCCGCTGGCGATGCCGATGTTGACGGCAACGGCCACGGCACTCACTGCTCTGGCACCATCGCCGGCAAGAAGTACGGTGTTGCCAAGAAGGCCAAGGTCTACGCCGTCAAGGTGCTCCGCTCCAACGGCTCTGGCTCCATGTCCGACGTGGTTGCCGGCGTCGAGTGGGCTGCCAAGTCCCATATCGAGAAGGTCAAGGCGGCCAAGGACGGCAAGCACAAGAACTTCAAGGGCTCCGTCGCCAATATGTCGCTCGGTGGCGGCAAGACCAAGACCCTTGACGACACGGTCAACGCTGCCGTGTCGGTCGGTATCCACTTCGCGGTGGCTGCCGGTAACGACAACGCCGATGCCTGCAACTACTCCCCCGCTGCTGCCGCGAAGGCCATCACTGTCGGTGCTTCCGCTATTGACGACAGCCGTGCCTACTTCTCCAACTACGGCAAGTGCACCGACATCTTCGCTCCTGGCCTGAGCATTCTGTCCACCTGGATCGGCAGCAAGTACGCCACCAACACCATCTCGGGTACCTCGATGGCCTCGCCTCACATCGCTGGTCTCCTGGCCTACTACCTGTCGCTCCAGCCCGCCGGCGACTCGGAGTACTCGCTTGCTCCTATCACCCCCGAGAAGATGAAGGACAACCTCCTCAAGATCGCCACCCAGGGCACTCTGACCGACATGCCCAAGGACACCCCCAACCTGCTCGCCTGGAACGGCGGTGGCTGCAACAACTACACTGCCATCGTCGACGCTGGCGGCTACAAGGCCGGCCACAAGACCACCACCGACAAGATCGACATCGGCACTTCGGTCTCGGAGCTCGAGAAGCTCATTGAGCACGACTTCGAGGTTGTCTCTGGCAAGGTGGTCAAGGGCGTCTCGTCGTTTGCGGGCAAGGCTGAGGAGTTCTCCAAGAAGATCCACGAGCTGGTTGACGAGGAGCTCAAGGAGTTCCTCGAGGATATCGCTGCTTAAGTCCGGCCTCAGCGTGACAAGCGTGATGAGCGTGTAACCTCAGTTTCCTGTTTGGAATGGGACGGTTTTTGCTTTTCCAGTTAGGCTTTTTGGTATTTTGGGAGGCGCATACATGCACCCGGAGGAGTTTCTTGTACTGTACGGTTAACATGGGATTGGGATGCACATTCGAGGGTAGCCGTATTCACTAAATGAATCATAAACTCTCATCCGCCTTCTGAGACCGTGATCAACGACAAGCTAACCATTTGTTTTCGCGTCCATTCAAACTTGCCCCATCTGCCCTCCCTCAGAGATCCGTATGACGCTAACAAGGCCTGGCCTGATTCGAGTTTCAAGTCCTCGCTCCTTCCAAGCGGTGCTCCCCCAAGGAGATATCCTATCTGATGCGCCTTCCCTGCCCACGAGTCTCGACCCAGACTCAAGTTCTCTCTCCCACGATGGCTTCCTGGTCCTCACTGACCTCCTTCCTTAGGTTGGCCAGTGGCCAGTGGTTTCGCGTCGTCGTCACCAGCTGCGCGTTCTGTGCCACTCTAACCGGGGCATCTCATTTCCGTCGGCATAGGTTAGCTACACAGCTTTACTGTTGATTAGTCCCTTTCCGTCGACGACTGTTACCGAACCGCTGTCTCGGTGCAACTGCACTGTTACGCCGACACATATCTTGTTCAACCGTTTCGATGCTGCGACGGCGCAGCCTTAAGCCCAAGCCGGACCTCAAACGCCACAAGTCAACCTCATCGGCGGCACAGGGTGTCATTCTCGAGCATCTCGATCCCGTGCTAGCACACCGGGATGCTCATATTGCGGCCTGGGAGGCTTGCGCGAGAGCCCAAAACCGGACGATGGCCGAGATACCACTGTTCCCCATGACTCCTCAGTCCTCTCCCCAGCATCGGCCGTCAGAGTTGACCGCTGCTGGCCAGGATAGCCGTGATCGGGGTGACGCGCAAGACCTCCGTCGTCGTCAGAGCGTTCGTTTTATGGGACCATGCTCAACCCAGACGGCTATTCGAGGGCCACATGCTTCTGGTAGTTCCAAGGACAGGAACCGCGACTCAACAGACACACAAGAGGGAGGTCATGAAATAAGCAACCAGCCAACCAACGAGGATCAAAACGAGAAAGCACCTAGTCCCCCCAGCAGAGTGCCACCACCAGTTCCCTTACCCCATATCGCCGCTGGCTACCTAGATGCCCTCGCCGCTGCCGAAGAGTACTACACCCCTCAGGACGACATAGCATCCGCCCCATCCTCGTATCGCCGTCTTTACAGATCCAGGTCCATGTTCACCGATTCTCCGGGCAACAAGTCCGTAAAGTTGAAACCGCCTCCTCCCTTAGCGTCTCGCAGGTTCTTCCGCTCAGACCCCAGTGATGTCAAGCCTCCGCACGATGATACGGCCCCTGCTCTGAGAACTCCCAAGTCAATGAGCTTTCTAAGTAGCCGGAGATCTCAGTCTAGATTTAATACAAATCGGGACCGGACTGCCCTGGAGCCAACCCCCTCTAGCTTGTCTGGGGTCCCCGAAAATGCATCATTGATCACCGAGAAAAGCATGCCACGTCTCAGGTACAAATCTTCGATATTCTTCGGTTCCTTGAGTCACCAAGCTGGTCCAAAAATGCACCACAAAACTCTCCGCGGCAGCAGCTTTACGGAAGACCTAGGAAAACCAAGTTCTACCCCTCATAGCCACTCGGAACAGTCAAGTACGCTAAGACTAAGGGCCAGAAATGTCTCTCGATCACTTAGGATCAAGCTAAAGGGCCTGTTTTCTGGCGCCAAATCCGAAGACGGAGCCGGGTCGATTCCCTGCCAACACATTGAGGCCCAGCGAAGTCATGTTACACCCATCCGTACTTCGAGCGCGGACGACAAGTCACCGATTGATGGAGGTGACGAACTCACACGCAGCCCTTTGGCAAGGGTGTCCACCTTTCGAATGGTGCCGCCGGAGCTTGGGCATACCAGCAAAGCAAGCAGGGAGAGTTTGACGAACGAGCAAGACCGCATCGTATCAGATGGCTCGTCACTCACAAGCTGGGTGCACTCCGGGCCAAGCACACTCACAAGCCAGGAACAGCAACAATGGAGGGAATGGGAGAAGCAGCGCCTCTCCGTTATTAGAGAGAACGGCGCCCATGCCCCATCACCCTCTATCCGGAGGCGCGTACTCGGTCCGGGAGTTTTCCAACCTCCTGACAGAGCTGCCAAGGTCCCAGTCGCTGGTGGTCCGATGGTGGACAGTCAACGAATTTATTCTGCCCTCGTCAAACGCATGCAGGCCACAAACACCGAAACCGCTCAGAGCCGTGGACCTGAACGTTTGGCGTTGGCTGGTGAGGAAGTTGGGGAACACTGTGATAAAACACCAGACACCATTCGACATGTCATCCCCGAGCGAAAGTATCTGATGGCATCCCGCGACATTCATACCCCAACACGATCATCAAAGAAAGCAAGTTTGTCTCGCAAGCCCAACCACGAGAATGAAGAAGTCGACAACCGTCATGCCGTGAGCTACGGCTCTCCGTCTGGTCACCAAGGCAGACGCAATGTCGATTTCACCGACGAGCGACCCGCATCTGCTACGGCCGAGGTTGCAAGTCTTTATAAGGGGTCCCAACTAGAGACGGAAATGGACAGCAATAACATAATGATCCAACAGAGCGCTCGTCTAGACTGGTCGAGGGTTTCTGGCAGTCCCGCATCACACCTCTTCAGGGCGGGAAGCCCCTACCGCCGTGCGCTTAGAAAGTCGATGGAAGAGGAACAAAACGCTTGGGCACAGAGTTCGGTCAACGAGCGTGACTCGGACACCGGGACTCAAGTTCACCACGCGAGTGACGGAGGCAACGTCCCCGAGACCGACTCCGACTCGGCCAAGGATCTCGATTACTCCGAGAGTGTCTACTCCTCGGACGAGGTGGCAAACAGAAACAGCGCGGCAAACACTCCAGCCATGTACCGCCCAGGGGGGCGTCGCGAGACTTCAACGGTCAGCTCAGTAGACTGGAAGACCTGGCTGTCAGCCAACGTGGACAAACTCGAGCCCGCTCCGTCCCCATGCAAGCCATCATCGCACGCAGAACGCGCCCTACCAGCCATATCCCGGAAGTTACACACCACTGCCGCCAACCGCTTCCCATCTCTCCGCGGCCACATCCGTGAACAGGCCCAGATCGACGACGACGACCGTGACCGTGTTCGTGACTACAACAACGAGAATGTCCGCTCAGGCGATGCAGACGACGTCTTCCAGTCCACCCCGACCCAGAAACCCGTCCGTAAAACCACACCATCCACCACAACACTGCCATCCACCACAGCAGCAACACCCCTCAGCCCAGTCCCCGTCCAACCCAACATCACCACCAACCCCTCCCCACTCCGCCACTCCCTATCCGCCAACAAACGTGCCACGCCCCCTACGCATCCCAGCCGCAACAACTACGAACGCGGCGCAGAAGTGGGAGGTTGTGGTGGTGGAGGCAACAGGTCGCTGCTGGTAGAAAACGAGAGCCCAACCCGCGCACCACCGCCCCCGCCGCCAATACCGCCTAGGAGCAAGATGCGGCCGGAGCCGTTGCGCATTGTGCGGGCGAGTCCGGGGCCGGTGGGAGGTTACGGTCTTCACCACCATCAGCAGCAGCAGCACCACGGCCTGGGGTAGGGTCGGGGCCGGGGTCGGGGCTTGGGCTTTGGTCGAGGTTGTGATCGTGATCAGAGTCAGGAAGGGCCGTTGGTCGGCGGCGCGATGGCTCGGGCAGCAGCAGCGAGTCCTGCACCGTCGTCGGTGCTGTCGAGTCCGGGGTTGACGGAGGCTGTGCAGAGGCAGTTTGGTGGGCTTGGGTTGGCTGGCGCTGTTGATGGTTCGGGGTCTGGGTCTGGATCAGGTTCTGGGAATCATCAGGCTGTGGGGCGGAGGAAAGGCATTGCGGAGGTTTTGGGGGGTGGGCGTGATGAGAGTGTAGCTTTCGTGTGATGCTTGGCGGGCGGGTGATGTGAGGAGTTGGGGCGAGGTGAGAATATGTGAGAGAGAAGGGACCGGTGTTGGTGATTGGAGTCGAAGTTAGAGGTCCTAGTACGGCGCTGAAGCTGAGCCAAAGGAACCTAGGAGGAGATTCTATCGGGGGTCGAAAACATTTGATGGGCAACGAGACATTGGGTTACGTTAGATATGACTAGAACCTGGGATACTGCGGAAAAGTAGTTAGGTACTGATAACCGGGGGTTTGATTTGGCTTAACTCCTACATTGTTTACGCCTGTATGAGTGAGAGTGACAGAGACTGAGTGTGTTAACGAGTGGGTTTGATCACTTATATGGCCAGCTACTTCCGCTCATCAGTCAAATAGCAGTAGCATTATTGCAACTCCTATTCATAGTGTTCATGCAAAACGTTTAACTTCGACTAGCTGAGAAAGTTTCGCCTAAATACGAAAAGAAGGGAAATGTTAAAGCATACAATTAAACATTTGAGGTAAAAAAAAAAAAAAAAAACCACCGCTATACGACGGCTCTCGTCGAATGATGCACTCCTGGGTGCATCCTACAGGCTCCCGCCTTGGACACGGCACAGGCGGTCATCCACTTGCTCCCACCGCTCGTTGCCGACGCAAGGGGTGCACCAGAGCACATCGTCGGGGTCGACGGCCCGCTTGATGGAGACACTGTGGCCGGGCGGGTAGGTTAGCAAAGGTGATGATAGTTGAGCAGATGGGTGGATAGGCAGCGAGGTAAATAGAGGTGAATACGTACAGTCGCTCGTAGTTAGAGCCCCAGAACTCCTTTTGCCAGTTCGGTTCGCGATAGTCAGCCTGTTTAAGGAGTGGGTGGGTTAGTATGATTATGGGCTTCAGAGGGTAGGGACCACAGGCGCACCTCGTTCATGTACGCGCCCATGTTGGGCGCCAGCTCCCTCAGCGCCGCCACGCGGTTCTTGAGCCGCGCCTCTGCGGCCGTAGAAGCAGCGGGGTCGAGAGGGTCGAACGAGACGGCCGTGGTCGAGTGAATGTAGGCTTTCCGCCAAGCCGGCAGAACCGCATTCCCACTGCAGCCCCTCGGCTTCGCGTTGTGCACGCCCTTTCCGGAGACTAGATAAGCCGTCGACACATCACCGTCGGTAAAGCGCTCAAACGCCTCGGAAAGTCTAGTCAGATTCTTGGTCAGGGCGTCTCGGTCGAGGAGTCTGGAGCCGACATGGCTGCTCTCGCCGGCCGGGGTAGTGTCGTAGTTCTCTGAGAACCAGCCGAGAAAGGACGGAAACGACTTGGGCTCGTAGTATATTGTCATGAACAAGTCGGGCCAGGTGTCCTTGACGTGCGCAAACACGGGTTCCCACAGCTCGCGCAGCACCTCGGGCGACGAGTTCTGTATCACGCCGCCAAAGATGAGGCCACCTACGGTGGTATTGCCGCCATCCAAGGGGTTACGGAACTGGCGGAAGACATAAGAATAGCCGGACAGGCCCTTGTCTCCCATAGACGGGAGCTGGCTGAGGACATAAGCGGTCATGTCAAAGATAGGGCGTGGGTCGTCGATCTGCGGGGTGGCGATGATGGCGGTGACGGACTCCAGTTTGGGAGTTGGGAAGGTCTTCAATGTGACGGAAGTCATGACGCCGAAAGTTGAGCCGCCCCCCTTGTCAGGGATACCAGGTTAGCTACGCACAGGATCAGAGAATGGGAGGGAGACACTTACACCGCGCATGGCCCAGAAGAGGTCTTGATTTTGGCATTCGTTGGCGGTTACGATCTTGCCATCCGGCGTTACTACTTCCATTTCGAGAACCTGGTCTGCGGCGAGGCCATGGCTTGGTGCCAGCAGACCGTGGCCAGCGCCAGTGACATAGCCGCCCACCGAAACTGTTTTCCCGCCGCCCCCGATAGTCGTCTGGTTTAGGAGGTCGAGGGCGCTGTACAAATCCCACATCTGGGTACCGGCGCCAACAGTGACGGCGGTGCCCTTGATGGTGGTCTTGCACCGTTTCGGACGGAATGAATCATGGGTCTTGATGTCTTTCATGTGGTGCGTCCAGATAGAGAGCGAGTTGGGAGCCACTGAGCGGCCAATATAGTCGTGGCCAGAGCTCTTGACGATGAGTCTGACGTTGTGCTTTTTCGCTGGGTGAAAGGTTAGTACCAACACCGGAATAGGGGTTATATACTTCGTATAGGTGGTGTTCTCACCAAATTGGACGCCGAGCTGGACGTGACGCGGCTCGGTGGCATTTATAACGAAGACAGGATATCCTTGACCGCTGCATGGAGTATTCTCGAATGGAAGGCAGGAGTCGTTGGTCCATTGGTTCCAGTCGACTGAGACGGGGTCTGCTTGGTGGAACTCGTAGGTTGGCCATCCTTTGCGGACGGCTTCGCACTCTGTGGGGTTGTAGGATCCTTGTCCGGGATGGCAGACAGCTCCTGGAGGAGTTGGTTGCAGCAGTCTTCCGGCAAGGGACTCATTGAGGCGGTTCCAGTCCCGGGTCGACGGCCAGGATGGAGTTCCGGGGACAGCTTTGCAGGAAGGAGCCCTGTTCTCTTGCCTCGAATCGAGAGAGGGAGTCGAGGGAGTCAGTCCAGCAGTCACAGCGAGAACCGAGGAGGCAAGCTGGAGAGCGGAGACAAGACGACCGCAAGTCGGAGACATGGTGAGGGAGGAGGAAGATGAGAAACAGGGAAGGAGAAGAATGGGGGTTTAAAGATGATGGAGTATTGCGAGTATGGCAATTGCAACCCTGCAGGCTGCAGAAATCAACAAACTGTCAAGAGTGGGGTGAGGAAGGTATGATACCCGGAGGATCTGCTCATGGTGTCCATTTCTCCTTCCCTCTCCGGGTAACGCCAGTCTCGTTATATATCTTCCATGATGCCTTGGCACGTGGTTGCGCCCTGAAAGAGCCTTCCGTCACTGGAATTGCAACGTTGTGGCTGCCCACGATGCAAGGGTCGGTCGTATTGATCGCTTCCGCCTCCCGTTGGACAAGCTTCCGAAAGCCATTAATGGACCCACCCCCCGTCAACCCCAAAGCTTGCTCAGCGCGTCGGTAATCCGGTGGAGCTTGAGGCCGACCCCGCCAGAAACAGAGTCATCCACTGGACTTGCCGCATTCAGTTGCGACCAGCCATCTCATAGGGCACCGCCGGTGATTTCCTTCCCGGGTTTCTCGGCATCTCCACATAATCAACTCCCGCCGCCATGGTCAGGACATCCCTTTGCGACGGATACGGTAGTCTTGGCGGATCCGGTTTTGGAGTTTCTACAAATATTCATCATGGTCCATGCGCGATCGATGAATGAAGCCATTGCGTATTGCGTGTCCCAGTATATCGTATATGCGGCCCCTATAGCCTTGTCTTGTCGAATCATGGCAAGCAGGGAAGCCGTTCGCGAGGAACACCTAATTCGGCCATGTGTTGCCTATGAATCTGCCTTGTCGTCGTCATCACATTTGTCCACCCGGCCAAGAAAAGCGCGCATGATGGCTTGATTGGGTGGTTCGATTTTGTGTGGGGTCGAAGAACGCGTGGATCTGATCTTGGGGGAACTCGGGCATGAACCCGAGGGATTGGTTGCCGATGCCAAAACCGTCTGAAGTATGTTTCGTACCAAGTCAATCTTCCCTATCTGTTTAAAAGGGTTCAGAATTGGTCGTCATCAAGACAAGGAACCGCATCTTTTGGGCAACCACAAAAGAAGCTGTCGCTTTTTCCATGAAGAGCGATAACTACATGCACCCAGCGCAATGTTCGAACAAGTATGACGAAGGAAAATGCCATTGACACGGCCTGACGCGGGGCGCCAATTATTGCCGATGGAGACGTAGAAGCGAAGCTAGGGCCGGAACACATGGCCATGCTACGGAGCGAGGTCAAGGGAGAAAAGCACGAGCGCGATGGATCAGCTCGGAGATGTTGGACCTAGATGGGTGGTTATGGCTCGATGGCCTTGAGATGGAATCCAGTCCCTTTTCAAATGCCCAAAATTTAGAATTCCTCTTTTCCCTAGAATAGGTAATGAAGATGGAAGCTTGAATGTCTAATTGACTCAGTCATATCCCATTAATACGTGGAGAACTTGAGTTAGGTAGGGAGGTTCCGAGGTTCATACATTGAGGTTGTCTTGCCCATGATGACCTAGCCTAAGACCATGTTGCTTTGCGGCATCGTGGACGAATTGCGCCGCAGTATGCGCCAAGAAGACCGTCTGTCCTTCTTCTTTTGCGAGGCCGGTAGCAAGAACGCCGAGGGTGCTGCCGCCGTCCTGCGCAGCATCATCTACCTACTCGTCAGCCAGCAGAAATCACTTGTCAGCAAGGTGCTACAAGAGTACAAAAAGGTCGACCCTAAACTGTTCGAGGGCCCAGGGGCTTGGTATGCCCTGCGCGGTATTTTTCTGAGCTTCTTTCCGGAGCTGCGACAAGAAGACACCGAAGGCGTGACTTATTTCATCATTGACGCGCTAGACGAATGTGGGGAGGATCTCGAGAGGCTGGTGTCCTTTATCTCTGAAGCGTCAAGGCTTCCTGGCGTCAAGTGGCTGGTGGCCAGTAACCGTCGGGCAGACGTGGCGAAGCATCTCAAAGTCGGGGAGACCAGGCTGCATCTAGACCTAGGCGACTGCACCGCCGAGTTAACCCAGGCCATTAACAACTACATCGATTGGTGCGCCTCGAAGCTGGCGCACGGTTTAGAGGGCAACGGCCTCCGTGAACAGATCCGTAGAAGCTTGCGAGAGAAAGCTGGGACGACTTTCCGGGAAGTAACACTTGCCCTCGCAGAGCTTCAAGCGGTGCCCATCTTTGAACTGCCAGAGAGCTTGTGCAGACAAGCCTCGGACCGTATCCAGCACCTGAACCCGGAGACTCGCCACCTTTGCTGCAGCGTCCTGGCCACAGTTGCCATCGCCCATCGGCCCCTAAAGCCGCAAAGAACTCCACGCTCTGGCTGGACTTTCCTTCAACGATACCGCCGAGGATATTATACGTGAGTGCGACTATTTCGGCATCAAGGGTCTTACTTCATTTTCAGTCAGCCAATCGGCAAGGGAGTTTCTCTCTAACGACCGGCTTCTGTTTCCCAACGGCTTCGAGAACGAGCACTCCCGTGTTTTCATGCGGTCCTTGACGCTTATGGAAGCGTCGTTACATCGCGACATGTATAGCCTCTACGATTTCGGGTTGCTTGCTGTCGATATTGAGGTCCCCGAGCCTAACCCGCTGGACGCGGTCGGCTACGCCTGCGAGTACTGGATTGAGCATCTTGTCGCGAGTAACTACGACGGCCCCGATATCAATGACGGCGGTGCTCTCTCCGCATTCCTTGAGACGAAGTAACTTTACTGGATGGAAGCTCTCAGCCTTTTAGGTGCGATGCGAGCCGCGCTTGGATTAAACTCATCAGCTAGTTATCTCAAGGTAATAACCTTATGTATTTATTTGAAAACCCTCCTTCCCCCCCATTTCCCCACGGTTTCTCCCTTTACCGCCGCTTCTTCCTCTTAGCTCTTCCATACAGCTCAACGTTATCCAGCCACCTTACCACTAACGAATTAACATTTGTATAGCAGAAGAAGGTCGCAGGCCGGTTAGCTAAGCTAGTGGCCGATATACAACGCTTCATCGAATATCATGGGCAGTCGATTATGGTGTGGCCCCTCCAGACGTACGCCTCGGCGGTAATCTTCGCCCCATCCCGCAGCATCATGGGAGAACTCCTCCGTTCTGAGAAGCCGAACTAGGTAGCTCTGGATGATGAGATACGAGAGGGGCACTGGAGTGCATGGGCCCAGACGCTGGACCTAAGTGATGCCGAACCCGAGGTTGTTGGACCGGTCAACTTCTCTCCCGATGGTGCCTGGCTGGCTGCCGCACTAAAAGGGAATTACAATGGAAAGACGGTACAGAAAGTCCGGGTTTGGGATATGGCAACCGGGAACAGTGTCTGGACCCTCGAAAATGCGAGTAGCTGGGTGGCCTTCCCCCCTAACCACTCCCTACTAGGGACCATCACTAGCCCGGGAGAGGTCAGATTTTGGGACCTAGCTAAGGGCGTCTGGAAAGATCGTATAATTTACGGCTTGAATACTGCGGGTGCCGCCTTTTCGCCTGACGGTGTCTGGCTGGCCGCCGCAGACGGAAACCGTATTTGCGTCCAGGATTGGGCTGAAGGGCGCTGCACGAGCTGGTTCCGGCATGAGTCGACCAGTTGTCCCTTTTCACTTGCATATTCGGCTAACGGTGCTCGGCTTGCTTCAGCGCATACAAAAGAGGTACGGGTATGGAATCTCCAGTCGCGTAGTCTTCTCCAGTGCATCAATATGGCAGATACCAATTTGATCGCATTCTCTATGGATACCGCTAGCGACAAGCTTATATTGACGAGCAACGAGTCATTAGCGATATGGATCCTCGAGACGGGAGAACTCATCAATGAGGGGGCATTTCCCTCTGAAGTTGGAGCGGTGACTATCTCCGCCAACGGAATTCGTGTTGCGCTAGTACAGGACGGCCTGATCATGACCGGGGACAAGGCACAGTTACGCATGCAGAGGATTCGCGACGACAACCAGCACGTCCGGTCGCTCGTCTTGTCACCCAACTTTAACCAGATTGCATCGATCGGCGCATTTGGACTCAGGCTCTACTGGGCTAGTACTGTATCCAACGACTTCTGCAACGTGGTGCCGAGGTGATTAGAGACCACCCCGACAAAATCAGCCTCATCAGGGTCTCGGCCGACGGCAGAACGACAGTGTCGGCCTCGACAAGCATGATAAAGATCTAGGACTCCACTACACGCAGTCGCCCGCGCGAGATCCAAGGACCCTACAGCGGCATCCTCGATGTAGCGCTCTCTCCAGATGGCACTCGGCTTGTATCTATATCTAGCCGTCAGGACGCTGCTATCTGGGACGCAGAAACTGGAAGCCGTCTCCAAACCATTCCAGATTCTGGCCTCGCAGCATCGTTCTCGCCCAATGGTGCTGATGTCGCCCTGTTGACAACAACGGGAAAGCTCAAAGTCTGGAGCCTCGCGCACCAGAGATACACCCGGGTCTTTGAGCAGCCGGCGTCTGGTGAATCTGCGTCCGGGTCCGTCGCGTTTGCCCCGGATGGCCGGATCACGACGTCGTTTGAACATATGATTAGGGCCTGGAAGATGTTTCACCGGTTGCAGATGGAGACAATGGCGGACGATGCCGCGGCCAAGGCGCTTGTTTTCTCGTCCAATGGCCGCCAACTCGCGGCCTTGTACGCCGACAAAATCAAAATCTGGGACCCGGCGAGGGGATGTTGCCTCCAGACGCTTGACACAGGCAGATATTGCGCCAACCTGGCAGCCTTCGGCGCGGCCAGATCCTGGCTTTTGACCGACGTAGGTCTTGTCCTCCTCGACAAAACGCCGACTGAAAACGGGAATGGGCAACGCGAGCTTCCTCAGCTTCGCTATCAGGGCTACGGGGTCGACGTCGAAAGCGGTTGGGTTACGTGGGGCTCGGAGAAAGTACTGTGGTTACCGCCGGCCTACCGCCCGGATAGTGCGGCGGTAATCCTTCCAACACCTGAAGCGTTGACGCCGTCGGCCCTTGTTCTGGGTTGTCGATCAGGTCGAGTGGCTGTGCTCCGGTTTCCGACTGGGTTGCTGCCAGGTCTCAGCAGCTAGAAACTGCTGTCGTGGTGGAGGGGTTGGGACCGGAAGGCTTCTGTTCTGTCTAACTGTTTCGTGTAGCTGCTCTGTGGTCTGTGGTCTGTGGTCTGTGATCTGTGATCTGTGTTTTGTGTATGGAATGTGGGAGGAAGTCGCAGTCGGGAGGGTCGAGTGTGGCTGACTGCTCATTCGCTGCTCCTTTGCGGTCGACCTCCAACCTGCGTCGGCTACTGGGTCTGAGGGATGAACACCTTTCAAACATAGCCTGTTGGTTGGAATGAAAACAAAAACAGGGTCGGCCAGTTGGGCTCTTTCTCCCCCACACCAACTGCCCTCAAGCTGAGAACGACGCCGCAAACAGCTCGTCGCAGTTTCCCACACGCCGCCACACCGGCGGCCGCGCAACTTAAGCGACAGTTTCGGTCCCCCCACACTCCTGAGCCGCGTTTTATTGGTGTGCAGCCACTCGAAGTTGACACCTCATCATCACCATGACCATCCGGTGAAGTCAGCACTTGACCTCGAGTATGATCCAAAATAACAAGTCCAAGCTGGATATTGGGGACTACATTTCATTCTCATTTCTCTTTTTGCTTTTTCGTTTCTTTTTGCTATTTCCTTTATTTCTTCGTGGTGGTGGGTGGTGTACGAAGAAGTACAGAATGTGAGAGTGTTCGGGGGTTCGAAGGCGTAATAAATGACATCCCGAAGCGTCCATTGTGTATTGTCTGTTCCTGGTATTTATCGCTCTTGGCGTGGTGATCTTGGGTCTCCTGAGGCCACATGCCAAGCCTGCCACAAGCCATTAATTACGCACCTCCCCTCCCCCTGTCAGCCTAAGCCAAAGGCCAATGCCAGGTATTACGCCGCAATTTCTCTGATGACATTTTTTGTTGGCACCGAACCACGTCTTTCACAAAGGGGCGCCCATGACAACCATCTCTTCACGTTGGGACGCAGTACACTGGGGATAACTAGCACTTGTCGCTTTTGTAATCTTGTAATCCCGTGGCTCCCGAAGCGTGTATCCCCCCACGAAACCCTGGCACACGACCCAGCGCTACCTTTAAGCCACCCCTACCTCCTTTCACCATGAACGCCATCCAGCAAAAGTGCCGTCCGAAGCACCAGGTGCTCGTTCTAAAATGCTATCCACGGACTGCCAAGGGCGCCGTCGACGTTAAGCCGAACTCTAGCGAACTCAGCTACCTGCTGTTTTACGCCCAGTCACGGCGGTCCAAGATCCAGAAAGTTGGCAGCTTCCTCGAGAAGAAGACGGCCAGCGATGTCTGGCGCCAGCGGATAGGGTAGGCAACGCAATGGAATTGGGGCGGCCATACTAGAACATCCTTAGGCTAACTTTGCCACTCGACAGGAATGTCCAGGTCACGCTACAGATCCTGACTGCCCTGATCGAAAAGACGCCCAAGGACCTCCCCCTATTCGCATCGTGCGTTCTCCAGATACTCGAACAGATCCTCAAGTCTCGCGACATCACCATGGTGGAGTCGTCCATTCCAACATTCGAAGCGTTCTGTACCCACCATGACCCGACTTCCCTCCTGGCCGACCAGGCCTACTTGCGCCAGTACCTCGACGTCGTCCAGCAGTACGCTTCTCTCGCCTCTACGCGCGCCTTCGCCGGGAAACTCGAGCCTAGCAAGCCCATTGCCCTTCGCTGGAGAAACACGGGCCTGAAGGCCATCAAGAGCGTTGCCTCGTCTGACAGCCTCTCTTCCGTCGCGACTCAGCAGTACGATTTGGCCGTTCCCATGATTCTCGAAAACCTATGGACTGATAACGAGGATTTTCTCGACGTCTTGCACCAACGGGCCGAGATGGGGGAGAAGCTGGGTGGCGCGCTATTGCGGAGACGGACCAGCGTTGCGACGGTGCAGACAGCCGAGAGCGAGTCCAACACGAACCCCATCGCGCTCGCCGACACTGCCGTGGACATGGACAAGCTGGCCGAGGAGGACACCGGGGTGTTGGCGATGGAATGTCTCAGACAAATCTTTGTGGCTACAAACCGGTCACAGGTTCATGCCGCCACGGTGGCGCTCCTCAAGTTTATTCAGGAGCGCGTGAGCCAGCAGGAGGAGGTTGTCAGGACGGACTCTGACGGGCGTGACAGTGGCTGGGCTGTCAAGATGTTCCTCTTAGCCGCTCGGTGGGCCCCCGTTGCTGACCGTTTCACCATCCTCGTCACAGCGATGGATTCGCTCGCCCAGCAACCCCTGACCGACGAAGCTCTGCAGCAACACATCGTACTAGCAGCCATGATCGGTGCGCTCCTGCGATCCGATATCAACCTGATAGGCTTGAGCGTGATGGATGTCCTGCTCCAGCTCATTGCCCACATTCGGAAGGTGGTGCAGATGCCAGGGGATCCGAACAGCATGCGGAGCGAGCCGCATCTCCCAGGGGAGCCTGATCCCCGTGCACAAACCGTTCTTCAGTTCGCCGACAAGGCAGAGCAGGCCGTGGCTGAACGCAAAAATGTCTTGTTGCGGCTCCAGGAATGTATCGGAGACTTGGCCACCCATGTCTACTATGCGGACCAGATTTCCGACATGATTTCCACCATCTTGCAAAAACTGAGGCCTACGAGGTCCAACAGTATATCGGGCTCGCCCCACGGGGACAAGTCCGACACCCCCAAATCGTCCGTGAACGCTCTTGCTGATGAGCATCACGCCGATTCTTTGTTCGCCCTCACTGTGGCCAAGATCGCCGCACTGCGAGCCATCAAGTCGGTCCTCCTGGTGGCCAACCCGCGGACCAAGATGAGCGGGAATCTTGGCCTGTCAAGGAGCCACGTCCCGATCCAGATTTGGGATGGCACCCAGTGGCTGCTAAAGGACCAAGACGGCCTCGTCCGGAAGGCCTATGCGGACGCCGTGATGACATGGTTGGACCGCGAGACGACGAGCGCCGATTGGAAAGCCAGGGACGAGACGGCTCGGCCCATGCTCAAGACCCGGGAGCTGCAAGGTGCCGCGCTCGCGAAGCGGGCCGTATCGAGTGCTTCAGCCCGCGAAAAGCCCGTCAAGGTGCCCCGGTCGCATTTCTTGCAGCTCCTCCACCTGGCTATCTACGACAACGCCATCGATTATATCGACTACGAGACCGATATTCTGCTTCTCCACCTTTTGCTGGCGAAGCTCGTGGACAAGCTCGGCGTGAACGCCGTTCGCTACGGCCTGCCCATGATCTTCAGATTGCAGGAGGATATCCAAGATGCCGAAACACCGATCCACAAAGTCCGGCTGGGAAGTTTGGTGCATGGCTATTTCTGGATGCTCACCGAGAAGTTTGACTTTGAGGGGACGGTCATAGGGCGGGCGATCCACAACGAGATCGTGCGGCGCCGCAGCAAGAACTTTTGGGTCGATGGCGTCAACCTCCCGGTTCCTCTCCTCGACCTGATTGGGACGCCGGGGACGGTCCAACGTCAGCCGAAGCTCCCATCCGACGAGATCGAGTCGGAGGCCCTGCTCCCCTTCGACGAGCGACTGGCGCTGGTGGAGTGCGTATGCACGGCATATCAAGAGCAGACCACCTCGCCGCCGCAAAGCCCGGCCGCTAGTCCCGGCCGCAGTTTCTCGCACCCTATGCTAGGCTCGACGACCAGCGCCATCCCCAGTATCGAAACGGAGCACGAGGTTCCCGATCATATCCGCGAGCAGATGCTCAGCGAGTGGACCCGCGAAGCCGTCCTCGCAGCTGTGCAAACCGCAAGCAAAACCGCATCCCTCAGTGGGTCTCGGTCGGGGACCACGGGGACCAACCGCTTGAACGCAAACGGCGGATTGGCAGCGAACGGGCACAACCCCAGAGCGGAAAGGTCCTCGCCGCACGGCAGTGGCACCAACCTCCGCCCGTCAACTTCGCCAATGGGAGACGCGATGCGCAAATCAAGCCTCCGCGGACACTCGCCCACTCCCGCCAGCAACAACGGCGACGCCAAGGAACAAGTCACCTCTGTCGAGCAGCTCAAGCTCGTCCTGTCAGGCCACCTGCAGCCCCCACCAACCATGCACGGTCCCACCACCTTCCAGCACGACGACTCCAGCAGCGACAGCCTCGTCAGCTACGACATGACCCCCAGCGAACTCTCCTTCAACCCAGCCACCCTCCCCGGCGCCATACCCGATCACCACCACCACCACCACCACCACCAATCTCCCCCCCAACAACGCCCCGTCTCGCGCGACCGCAAGGGCTCCGTCTCGGCCTCGGCCAGCGCCGGCGGCAGCGGCGGCCCGCTCAACTCCCACCCCACACCAGACGACATGTACAACAACAGCGAGTACGTCAGCGCCGACGACGGCGACGATGACGACGACGACGCCGTGCCCCCCGTCCCGCCCATCCCCACGGGCCTGATGGCCGAAGGCGGCGGCAGCCCCAGCGGCAGCCCTAGGGGAGGGCGCCTGCCATCATCGTCATCATCACCGTCAAGCAAGGCACAGCAGCAGCACCAGCAGCACCACGAGCGCGCGGCGGCGGCGGCGGTGGCGGCGCTGCGGCGGCCGTCGACTTCGAAGAGGAGTGTTAAGAGTAGGGGCGGTGGCGAACACCGTGCGCTGTCGAGCTCGTGGGCGTCGATGGGCGGTGAGGATGAGAAGGCGCCTGGGATGGATCTGAATGCGTTGTTGAAGGGGATTGATGCGCATGTGGGTGAGGACCAGGGGCTGGGTGGGTTTGGCGGCGTCGCGAGGCCGCCTTATTAGATTCTGCTCGAGTGGTTGTGGTCTGTTGGTGTGTTGGTGTTTATGCTTGGACTACGGTTGAGAGTGGTGTTCTCGGCTATGGTTTGCTCTGTCTGGCATGCCCGGCTGGGGAACGGTGGGCTTAGAGGGAGTTGGCGTATGTTTTTGGCAAGGCGAAGCGGATATTCATAGCATGTGTATTGCATTTGGTGGTTTGGGGATACAGGGATACATTTGGAGACTCTGGTTTGGGGTTTGGTTTTGCGCCCATTCTGCTGCTGTCCTTTGTTTTATCTGTAGAAGTTATTGATTGTTTTCGGCTTCTCAATCGGATGGTTCACTCGGAAACATGGTTGTTTAATGAGAGGAGTCGAGACCTTCACAGGACCGAGCATCCTTGGTTGTAATATGCTTTACAAAGAACTTTGATAGAACTCTGTCGGCGTGGTAGTCAAAGCGTATACATATAGGCACTAGCGCTAGATCTTTGATTGCCATTCCCGGTGAAGCAATACATGGTCCAGCTCTGACTCCAGCACAACAACACATTCACTGTTTCCCCTTCTCCTCAGGGGCCCAGACCAGTTCAAACACGAGCAGGTGACGTCATATCTCACCGCCCTCCAATCGGAGAATTTCCAGTCAAGCTCCCCTTGCTCGCGAAGTTCCCTGCTCACGGCAAGAGCCGAGCCGAGTCTGTTGCCAAGTTAGAAAATGTTTCTCGAGCTGAAAGTATCGAGACGGTGGTGATCAACACTCCACGACCCCTTTGGCACATGTACCCAATTCCACGGTGTACATACCCGACACCCAAATCCTCACCCCCTATACCACCACTACAGATCAAAGGCTTCAACATGGCGCCCGCAACACGATTATGCCTCCTCCCGCTGCGACCCATCACGTCGGCGGCGCGGGGTACCGCCCGAGTTGCCGCCACGACTAACGTTGCTACCCGGTCGATACATACCATCCCCGCCCAGTCAGCTAAAGTCGTCCCGGTATATGGCACCGGCCCGCCGCCCGAGCCGCCCCAGCCGAGCGCCGAGTTTGCCGCCGAGGTGCGGAACGAGCGGCTCGCCCGCCGGAAGCGCTAGGCTGAGATGCTGCGGGAGGTCGGGGACATTAAGGCCATGCGCAAGGAGCAGTAGGCGCAGCATGAGAAACAGCAAGAGTATGGGGTTAAGCCGGCGGGGGTGCTGAAGCGGCGGTTCTGGAAGGATGTGCATGTGAAGGAGGTTGACGGTATGCTTTACCCTCTCCCTCACCCCCCGTCTCCGTCTCCCCCTCCCCTGCCCCTTCCTTTACTATCCCTCCTTTACTACCCTTAACTGGTTTCCCCCTTGACGGTTGCATGGACGTGGCCCCTAACTCGCTGCTATC